AAGTTACTCTGTGCCTCGGTTTCCTCAACTGTAAAATGAGAAAGGATAATGAGAAGTTGTTCAGGGATTAAGTGAGCCGATACATGTGAAGTGCTCAGAACAGTGTCTGTCATGTGAAGTTGTTGTGTGCTATTGAGTCAATTCTGACTCACAGCAGCCCTATAGGACAGAATAGAACTGCCCCATAGGGTTTCCAAGGCTGTAATCTTTATGGAAGCAGACTGCTACATCTTTCTCCCAAGGAGCGGCTGGCAGGTTTGAACTACTGACCTTTCGGTTAGCAGCCGAGAGCTTAGCCATTGCGCCACCAGGGCTCCTTTTCTGGAATGTAGTAAGCCCTATATACATTTTAACCAGGGTGATTTGCTGTTTGTGTGGCAGTGGTGAAATCAAGGAGGCAGGAAGCCTGGATTTGAGGCAGTGGGGAAATCAAGGAGACAGGAAACCTGGATTTTAGGCGGTGGAGAAATCAAGGAGGCAGGAAACCTGGATTTTAGTCCTGGTTCTAAACTGATGAACTTGCAGAAGTCTCTTCCCCTCTCTGCCACTGATTTCATTTTCTATAAAATGAGGCAGATGAGCGCTCATACGTCTTAAGATTCTACACATAACTCCACTGTGAGCCATAAGAGCTTGAGGAGACTTTCTGGCTCGTGGTTGGTTCTGAGACGCTGATCTCTCACAGGTGTGTCAGGGCCGCCTTATTGATTCACACCAAGGACGCTGTCTCCGTCTCGGTTTTCCTACAGGCTGGTTGCTCTGCTTCCTTTTTGCCAAGGTGCGTTCCTCTGTCAGCCTCGTCAGAGCTGTCATAAGCCAGCTTTGTGGCAGGGAGAGAGGGAAAGTCAGTGTTTTTATTTGTCTCCCTCTCCTTGCCTTCCTTCCTTTGGAATCCCTTCTGACAAGAATCAAAACAAAAGTCTGCAACTGCCATGGTGAGAAACGCCAGTGATTCAAGAACCAGGCCCTGTGTAAGCCGTGAGGCCCCTTCTGAGAGGCAGTGACTGGACTCCTGTCGGGCCTGACTCACCCTCCCACTCAGGGGTCTCCGCCATCATTCCCTTTCTGCCCCAGTTGGAGAGCACGTTACAAACATATCGAATGTTATGGTTGGCAGATGAATCTAAAAGAAGGCAAAGAAAGAGTAACATGTGGTTTTTGATTAAGATTCTGTGACACACCAAAGTACTAATTACACCCCCACCCAAACCCCCACTTTAGTTTTTCTATATTCTGTTGTGGAGAGAGAGGGAGGAAGAGTTACATTCCTTCCCCTAAAAAAGGGACTCCTACCCTCTTTCCTGGTCCCTGGGTGGCACAAGCGTTTGCACTTAACTACTAACCTAAAGGCTGGTGGTTCGAACCCACCCAGCAGCACTGCGGTGATCTGCTTCTATAAATATGACAGCCAAAAACAACCCTATGGAGAAGTCCTACCCTGTAACACATGGGGTCACCAAGAGTCAGAAGCAATGGATTTTTACCCTCTTTCCCAATGCAGAAGATGTTTAAAAGGCTGCTTCTGCTTCTTTTCTCTTATTTGCTTCTGCCTCTGAAGAGTAAGTATCTGAATATCAGACCCCAGCATTTAATGGGCTGTATTTACTAACAGGCAGAGTTATGAGCCTTAAAGGCAGTGTCGCAGGAACCACCCTTCTTTCTCTTTCTGTGGCTACGCCCAGCAAGTTTTCTTCTGTTTCTTTCTGCTGGTAATAAATGTGTGTCGGGGTCAGCGGGGAGGGGCTGTTGGCAAGCAGAGAGAAACATCTGATTGTAAGTAACAGCAAATCAGTACACAGTGTTCTACAATGTGACACAACACACACCCTGAGTGGTTTTTCCAAATGACCAGATCATTGACTGGTTCCACTGTCCACTGGAAAGAATGAAGTAGAACTTCATCCTACCTCAAATTAAAAAGGATTCCTCATCACTCCTACCAAAGTTAAGTTGCGTTGCTTAGTGTTTCAACCAGAATGAGCTTAGCCTTTCATTGGCTTTATTTATTATTATTGTTATCTTTAGACAAGGAAGACTTCATTTGAAAGGATTATTGCAAGAAGGGAGGAAAGGACCACAGCAATAGGGAGGGGAGGATTTTGCTGTAGGGAGATTATTCCAGCCATAAGATCTACAAGACTTATTTCGCAGTCTCTACAACTAGAACCAATCTTAGCATTTCCAAGTTAGAAGAAAGTTCAAAGACCATCCCACCCAATCCTCTAACTTTGTCTACTTGGCTTTCTCTATTATATCCTTCGCCTGTGGTCCTATAGTTTCTGCTTGAACATTTCAAGACATAAAATACACACTCTTTAACAAAAAGACTATATGTAGATAGACTTAATTATTGGGAATTGCTTTCTTTGTAACTTTTTTGTAACCTCCTCCCAAAATTCTGTTTTTTGCCCTTTGGTAACTCAAAATAAATTGTAATACCTTTTCCTATGGCAGCTTTGTAAGTACTTAAATGGTTCTTAGGATAGGTTATGTTGTAGTAATCTCAGTGGCTGAAAACAACAAAGGTTTATATCTTGCATATACCTGTGTCCATCATGGCTCATCTTGGGGCTATGCTGTGCATTGCCTTCACTTAGGGACTCAGGTTGACAGGACAGCTACTATTAGGAATGTTTTTGATCACCAAGGCAGAGGGAGAGACTACTGTTGCTGCTGTGTGCCATCAAGTTGATTTTGGACTCATAGTCTTTTAATACCTAAATAAAGTAACTTGAATTCTCATTGCATGTAATTGCAGAAGTCAACCTTCCTCCCTAGTATTTCTGTGAAGTTCCACTCCGAGAGTTCAGCAAACTCTTTTCTCCACACTCCTGCTCCCCACTCAGTTCTCAATCAAGGAGCCTTGGTGGCACAGTGGTTAAAGAGCTCAGCTGCTAACCAGAAGGTCAGCGGTTCGAACCCAGCAGCTGCTCCATGGGACAAACTCACCGTGGGCCCTCTCACACGGCTCTCTGGTTTTCTTGTCCACAAAACACAGGCACAGCTCCTCTCCTTCATTCCCCAAGTCACCACCAGCATAATACAGTTATGGGTAGCAGACTTCACTGGAGTCTCAGGGGTAATAGCTGTGGGAGAAGGTGGGGGAGAAGTAGAGGAGAAAGACAGACAGATGTAAATAACCTCACCTCACAAAGGAGCCCTGGTGGCTCAGTGGTTAAGAGCTCAGGTGCTAACCGAAAGGTGGACAGCTCAAACCCACCAGCCACTCTGCTGGAGAAAGATGTGGCAGTCCACTTTGTAAGGATGACAGCCTTGAAAACCCTATGGAACAGTTGAGCTCTGTGCTGTAGGGTCACTATGAGTCAGAATAGATTCAATGGCACAAAACAACATGTTGAAATTACAAATAACTCTGGGTTAAGACCATAGCTCCCAATTAAATAAACTAAACTATAAAAAAAATTAATTGAGGATAAATATATTGTAATTCATGAATCTGGGGGTCATAGGTATTACCCAATTTCTGTACTTAGTCTCAGAATTATAAACATAATCTGAAATTTCCTTAATATTAACATAGCTTTGTGCTGTATTCTAGCACAAAAGAGAGAGAGAGAGAAAGAACACTAGATCTCACAGTTTCCAAAGTTCCTTACCTGTCTCTCACCTCCTCCCACCCCAGTGCTGGGACCATCTTCACCCCTCTGATGAAATCTGCCCCAACTTCTTTCTCAACCCATGCTTCTAGACACTGACCTCTGTGTCTCTAGTTACCATGGGGCCAACTCCACTTGGCCATTGCTTTATTCAGCAGAGCAACTTAGCTCCCTTTATCTTAACCTCTTCCATTCTGATTTATTCTAATCCATCCTCTTTCATAACAAAAAGCCTTATAAATACATTTTCTAAACAAAAGAATAGTTCACCAAAACCTCCACTTTGAGATAGAGAGTAGAAACTGAGAAGTTGCCATTTTTCTTTAAGATGGCTCAGGAAAAAAATCTTAGCAAGTGCTTTTTATTCCTGTCAACCACATATTTAAAAAAATTTTGAATACTGCAAGCATGGTTCGTAAAGAGTGAATTTGGGAATACTGAGTGATAATGTGAAAGGGTGTCAGATCATGAAAGACCCGGGAATATCTTTTAGACTATATCCATTGGTATTTTAAGCAGGGGATTACATGATTTGTAGATGATAGGTGGCAGAGAGCACAGGGGAGGCAAAGCTGAGCTGCTGTTGTAATGCAGGTGAGAAGGAGCAGCGGGAATGGAGAAAAGTTGATGGAATCCAGTCCTATTTAGGAGGCAGAATGGAGAGGACCTGATGAGGGACGGGGAGGGGAGAGAGGAAAATCGGGAATGAAGCCCGGCTTTCTGTTTGTAGCAAGTGGTGAGTGTTGGCTGCAAATCACCGTGATAGAAAGTAAATGAATAGGAATAAATTTAGGTGGAAAATAATGTTTTACTTCAGACGTATTTCATTTTAGGTTTGCAGGACATCCAAGCAGAATCTGGGTAGAGATTTGTTAAGTCAGGTTTTTTAGGCAAGGTACCTATCCGCTCCAGAAGATTTGCTCTCAGCTGCTAATCTAAAGGTTGGCAGTTGGAACCTACCCAGCAGCACCGCAAAAGTAAAGCCTGGAGATGTGCTTCCATAAAGACTATAGCCAAGAAAACCCTATGAAGCAGTTCTACTCTGTAACCATGAGGTGGAAATCACTTAATGGCACCTAAAAACAATGACAACATGGGGAAAAGAGCACTGGAATTGGAGTCAGGACACTTGGTTTTCATTCACTAGGTGGTCCCTGTGGCAAGTCACTTATCTCCTTTGTGTCTTCCTCGCCTTATTTGAAAAACGAATAAATTATTATAGTTATCGCTGTATCACAGGGTTGCTTGGAGATTGTGGCTAAGTAAAACGTTATAGAAACAAAAGAAATATTATATTCCATGTGCCACAATCCCAGACGAAGTTCACGCTGCCTTTAGCTGCTGTGGCTGCATTCTTAAAACAAAACTTTTTGTCTCTTGCAGTGCATAGTATGGGACTGGGATTCCAATGGCAAACATGACTTCATTGGAGAATTCACCTCAACGTTCAAGGAGATGAGGGGAGCATTGGAAGGGAAACAGGTATGTGGTAAACCAATTGTGTTATTTCCCCAGACGCTTCTCTCCTGGTGCGTATTTAGCACCCAGCCACATACAAAACACCTAAAAGTGAGATATCAATACAGGATTAAGTGTGATGAAAATGGAGCATGGTGGGATATATGTGCCTTGATTCTTGCACTAGCCCAACCCAAACAATTATGTGACCTTGAATAAGACATTGCCCCAATATGGTAACGTTTCTCCACTGGTAAAATGCAGAGAATAGATGAGAGTATTCCTAATTTTCTTTAGTTGTGAAGCCTCGGACAAGTGACTTAATCTCTGTGTCTCAGTTTTCTCACCTTAAAAATGAGGGTAATAACTGTACTTACCTCATAGAATTGTTGTGAGGATTAAACGAGATCATATATGATATTCACTTAGCAGAGCACATAGCACATAGCTAATACTTTCAAGACATTTGCTATTAATAGTGCTGTTCTCTCCAGCTCTATGTTACCATGACTTGGTTACATTAATAACATTTCATTCTGTGGAGAAATTATTTGATTTCTTCTGATTTTCACTATGGGCACCAAGTTTTCATCTACTTTCAGAATTTCACTCTTACACACTTGATACAAAAACATGTACCCAGACACATACATCGCAGATGCACATAGGGATCCATTACACCACACAGAAACCAAAGCCTCCTCTGTGTTTCTCTCTCTCAGACACATATACCTTCATATAAATTTGTCAGTTGCTGCTTAGACCCTAACCATGTAAGTGTTCTGCCTCTGCTCACAGCTGGAAGTGTGGGAGGATGTAATACCATACAGGGAGCAGCTCTCCGTAAATAATAAATAGGAGTTGGAGTATAAATACCGCAGCTCCCTTGCTCTTCAGGTGGCATAAATTTGAGGTGTGTGTTCTATATTGTTTCCCAGAGTTCCCCAACAGGAGTAAGCTCCAGTTGTCCTCAGCAGTAACTAGGTTGATAACGTACCCTTATTTGGCTGCCTTCTCTTCCCTACTTCAATTCCTGATATTACCTCCCAAATGAACTAAAAAACAAAAACCAAACCCGTTGCCGTCGAGTCAATTCCGACTCATAGTGCCCCTATAGGACAGAGTAGAACTGCCCCCACGGGGTTTCCAAGGAGCAGCTAGTGGGTTTGAACTACTGACCTTTTAGTTAGCAGCCTGAACTCTTCACCACTGCACCACAAGGGCCCCCCTCAAATGAACTACTTGGATTTAAATCCTTGCCTCAAGGTTTGCTTCTGGGGAACTCATTCTTACTCTGAGGCCCACTGTTCATATGGAGCATAAAGGAGAGAGAGCAGAAGGTTCAGTGGCTTTAAGAAAGTTCCTTTCCCTTGGAGATGACACTCTGTGCCTAGCCTGGTTAGGTGCTGGTTAGAGAAGACGTCCCAACTCATTGTTCAAGTCTCTTCTTTCAGATATAAGGTCAGAATATAACCAGACTGGATGGAAATAAAATAATAGAATTAGAAGCTTAATCTAAATCAGACCCTTTGTTTAATACATTCATTTGGTCTGGAAACTCAAGGGCAGATTTCTGCATAGCTCCTGCAACCTGCTGTCTATGATCTGTTGAGTACCCAGCACTGCAAGTAACTTGTCAGACTCAAAGAGCCCATCACCCACAGGAGGCCAGCAGAGTTTCAGGCCCACAGTTAAAACCAGCACTAAATTATAAGCACAGTCACTCCCAGAATAACAACAAATACAACCAGGGAAATTGTTGTTTCATTGAATGTACAGAACCAGGCCCTACTGAGCTAATGAATCAATGACAGCTAGCAATAGTACCCACTAGAGTGCTGAAGAGTTTTTTAAAGTTTTGCCTTATTCTCCTCTATAAATAAAAATGTCCATATCAATCAATATGGAAACATTTCATCTTTAAGCTCCTAAGAGGATACTTAAGTAAGATCATAACATATACCACAATTGAAAACCCCAAAGCCTGATGCTTTCTGCAAACAGAACATGAATCCTTAAGTCCTACTGAAGAAATGGACAATGTGCTGCTGTACTTTACTGTATCATGGAGATACCATACAAATTTTAGTTCAGCCACACAACCTGTTTCATCACATTGGCCCTGTGAGATCTATTTTCTTATGTATTGACTCCATTAATATTTATTGAGGAGCCCCAATAAGCACCAGGCTCTCAGTGTGTCATGACTGACATTGCTGACATGGCCCCTGCCCTCTGGGAGCTTACAGACTGGCAGGAATCTGGGAAGAATGTAAGCACGAATCAAATAAACAAACAGTAGAAATGTAATTATAACTTGTGACAAATGCTATTTAAAAAAAAAACTGATCCTATCTTATCAGTTATAAAGGTGTGTGTATGGAAGGGATAATCAGAGAAGGTAATATTTAAATTGAGGCCCATTAAGGGTAAAAAAAAAAAAGCCAACCATGTAGCAAGCAAGGGAAAGGCATTTCAGGCAGAGGGAATACCACTGGAAAGTGCTGAGGCAGGAAAGAGCTTGGTGTGGTTGAGGATCTAGAAGGAGATCAGTGTGTCTGGAGCAGAGAGGCTAAAGAATCCTTGCACAATTTGTGGTCAAAGACAGAGGCAGAGGCCAGGAAAAGTCGATTCTGAGAGTTCAGAGAAAGGAGTTTAGATTTTCTCCTAAATGTGATGGGAGCACACTAAAGCTGTGCTATTCAATGCAGTGGCCACTAACCACATGTGACTACTTGGTTTTAAATTTTAATTAATTAAACTTAATAAAAAATTCAATTCCTCTGTCACACTAGCCACATCCCAAGTGCTCAATAGCCATAATGGCTAGTGGTTACCATATGGATAGTGCAGATATAGAATATTTCCATCATTGCAGAGAGTTCTATTAGACAATGTTTCAAAGGGTTCTAAGCTAGAGAATGGCATGATTGGTTTTAATTTTTAAAATATTACTTTGGATATTGTGTATATAGGGTGGTGCAAATGGTTAAGCACTAGACTACACGCCAAATGGTTAGTGGTTCAAACTCACCCCGAGAAGCCTAGGAAGACAAGCCTGGTGATCTGCTTCTGAAAGGTCACAGCTCTGAAAACTCTATGGAGTAGTTATACTCTGAACACGTGGGGTTGCCCTGAGTGGGATTCAGCTCCATGGCAACTAACAACAACAACTAGGTATATAATCAACTATAGAGAGACGAGAGTGATACATAGAGATGTGTTAGGAGGCTAGTACTATAGGCAAGACAAGAGGTGATAATGACTCAGACTAGGGATAGTGATAATGAAGTGGAGAGAAGTGAAGATTTAAGATATATTTTGGAGATAGGATGTTTTAATCACTTCTATTCACCCCTTCGATGAGGGAGAAGTTCCCATCCTAGACTTACGGGGATGGTCAGACATTCAACACCTGACACCGACAGATGAGACAGACAGCAGTTCATCAGTCACATATCCTTACAGCATGAGGGAGGAGGGCACTGCACACCCTGCAAGGCCACATGGGGGTTGTACTGTGGAACAGAGTGAACAAGCAGGGCTGTGGGAGGCAGGTTTTGTAGTTTCAAGAGGGTAGGGTGTCCCCTGGCTCCCGCAGGAGGATGTGAGTGGCTTGTTTGAACAATTCCATGGGCTTCTGGGAACTGAAACCTGCTACTCAGGGTCAGCAGGAAATGTGCCTCGTCCCCTTGACAAGAAAGGTTGTTTGGCTAGGGGACGATACCCGAAGGAGCAGAGTGGGGAAGGGAACTTGCTGTTAGGTCATCTGAGGTCCTCTCAACTTTACCAGATATCAAGGCAACAAATAATATTGAGCCTTAATATTAGGCATCGCACCACACAGGAACTACAAGATTTGTTGAGAAATTGAACATGAGGAGCAAAGAAAGGAAGGAAAATGATGACTCATGGATAGATGGATGGATGTTGGTATAGTTTCCTGAGATGAGGAACCCTCGGGCAGCGAGGTCTAGTTTGTGTAGAAAGCTCAAGAGTTGGGTTTGGAAAACTGTCACCCACAGGAGAGGCTAGACTGGAGATATATTCTAGGAGCCATCAATAAAGAGAGGGTGAGAAGAGAGGATAGAGTACACTTGAACCCCGAGGAGCCTCAACATGTAGAGTCAGAGAGAAAAGCTGGAGACTCCATTTGTCAAGCTCCCTTCTCCTGTGAGAGCCGTGCTTTGGAAAGAACAGGGTAAATTTCTATTCACCTTGATTGATTCATGAGAAACCTTCATGAACGTCCTTACTTCGAAGTGGCCAAAGGAAGAACTTCCAAGCACAAATAGGAGAGTACCTCCAAGACTGTCCTTGGGGAAGGCACTGTGGTTAAAAGGTCAGGCTTTGCCACTGCTGAAGAAGAAAGTAGGAGTACTCACACTACCTCGCCTCAGAACCTACTATACAGCTACGGTAGTCAAAACAGCTTGGTACTGGTACAATGACAGTTACATTGACCAATGGAACAGAATGGAGAACCCAGAAGTAAATCCATCCACCTACAGTCACCTGATCTTCCACAAGGTCCCAAACTCCATAAACAGAGAAAAGACAGTCTTTTTAACAGATGGTGCTGGCAAAATTGGATATCCATCTGCAAAAAAATGAAACAGACCCATACCTCACGCCACATACAAAAACTAATTCAAAATGGTCCAAAGACCTAAATATAAAGATAAAAACTATAAAGATCATAGAAGAAAAAACAGGGTCAACGCTAGAGGCCCTAATACACAGCATTAAGAGTATACAAAGCATAACTAACAATACACAAACATCAGAAGATAGGCTAGATAACTGGGATCTTCTAAAAATTAAATACTTATGCTCATCAAAAGACTTCACCAAAGAGTAAAAAGAGAACCTACAGACTGGGAAAAAATTTTGGCTATAACAAATCCAACCAAGGTCTAATCTCTAAAATCTATAGGAAAATCTAACAACTCGACAATAAAAAGAAAAATAATCCAATTAAAAAATGGGCAAAGGATATGAACAGACACTTCACCAAAGAAGAC